ATAGAGCAGTAATTGTGCTTAACATATGGCTAGTTTGTTGGAATTATTATTACCCTTTTATATAATTATGAAATTTGACGAAAATAAATATCTATATATTCTGATCAGAGAGTTGTTTTTTACATGAAATATGTGGCAGACCCTAGTGCTGATGTTATTGCTCTATCACCAAAAACTCTTATGGCTACAAATCGATTTGTATGTGAGATTTGCAACAAGGGGTTCCAAAGGGACCAGAATCTTCAATTGCATCGGCGGGGCCATAATCTACCATGGAAGCTAAAGCAAAGAGCAAGTGGTGAAATTCGAAAAAGGGTTTATATTTGTCCAGAACCTTCATGTGTTCATCACAATCCGGCTCGAGCATTAGGTGATCTCACAGGAATTAAGAAGCATTTTTATCGAAAACATGGCGAAAAGAAATGGAAATGTGACAAATGCTCAAAGAAATATGCTGTCCAGTCGGATTGGAAAGCTCATGTCAAGACTTGTGGGACTAAGGAATACAAATGTGATTGTGGAACCATCTTCTCCAGGTTTGTACTTTGCATTGATCACTAAGATAGCGATAATTTATCATTTCAAGATAAAAAACAATGAAAACAGAAACAGAAAGGAGAGTTCTGAAATTCATTTTAAAACTGTTTTAAAAATATTTATTTTATATTCATATCTTTATCTCTCAAAGTTTCAAGAAACTAGCTTAATACAACCTGATATATTACTTAATTTCTACTTAATAATTAATTTCCCCAAAAAAAATGAATTAGTTAGAGGCCATACTTGTATATACAGTACTTGTCTATGCATGCAAGATGATTGTGGTTAATGGTAGGTTAAGCACATTGATTGGTCATGATGTGGGACCACTTTGTTTTATATATAAATATAGTGGCTTGTTGATTAATGGGATATCTGTACCTCGACAGCACTCCTAGCTTTGCTTCAAGTCTTTGTTTGACTATATGCAATTATGAAATCATTATTTTACCCAAAAGTCCCAATCAAGCTTTTAATTAAGCTTTCATTAGGCTTAGTTATTCAGCATAAATATAGTTGTCATGATCATCATATTAATGTTTAACAAGACTAATTCAATTACATTACCATTGAGGTAGAGGGTCTCTCTCTATCTCTATCTCACAGCATTTTTATATTTAAAATGTTTAGTTTTTTTAATTAGGGTTTGATAGTTAGTTGTTTGAGCACGCAGGAGGGATAGCTTCATCACTCACAGGGCTTTCTGTGATGCCCTAGCTGAAGAAAATAACAAAGTGAATCAAGGACTAATGCCCAACATGGAACCAAACATACAAGGCCAAATCTCCAGCCTCATACCCTCCTCCATGGCCATCAACAATAATCCTCCAAGTCAATCTGCCATGATGTCTAATTATAGCCATCTAGACACCAAAAACTCACTGTCCTTACCCCAAGCACTCATGCCACCTAAACCGTCACGAGGAAGCATGTTTTCAAGTAACACCGCAAGCCTTTTTGGTGGTTCAAGAAGCATGCCATTCAATTCTTCCTCGGCCCTTCAGTTGAATGCAAATTCATCAGCAATCTTTGAAGGAAATGGTCATCATAATTTAGCTGGCTCGGCATCAATGTCAGCTACAGCTTTGTTGCAAAAAGCAGCTCAAATGGGTGCAACTGCAAGCAGTAACAATGTGAGCTCTCCCATGATGCAAAAGAGCTTTGTTACAAGCATGGCACCGCCAACATTTGGTTCAATGCATGCCCAAAATGACCAATCTCATGTGATAGGTGGTGATGACGGATATGCTAACCAGTTTTTCAACTCAAACGGTGGTGTTGGGAACTCTGTATTGAATGATATGGGGATGTTTAGTGCAGTTTTGGATCAAAACAATGCATTATTCAAGACTATGGAGCATGCTAGCAGCAACAATGAGAATGCTTTTCAAGGTGCAAATTCAAGCCCTCGTTTGAGTAGTCCAACAAGTGGAGCTAATCCAAGTGGTTTATCAAGATTTAGTGGGGACATGATGACTGTTGATTTCTTGGGGATAGGAGGCTCTAGGCAAAGGAATCTTCATGACCAACATAATCATCAAGAAATGGAGTTCAGTCGAGGAATTAGTCATCCAAGGATGCAAGGGTTGAACCACTTTGAGCAGCAACAAGCAGCAGCACTAGAGAAACCCTTGTGGGATGTTTGAAAAATTAAGAAAATACTCTACACGATTTCCTTTTCTTCTACCTCTATAGCTATAGTCCCTGTAATGGTTTCTATCATCACTTCTTTTTCTTCAAGTTAATTGTATCAGCCAGCTGGGAAGAACCTCAAGTGTTTTGCTAAAGAGCAAGCAAGGTTTTGAGGATTTTTGGCCCACCATTAGCGACTTCAATATGAGTAGAAGATCACATAGATCGATTTTCTTTCTAAAACTCTTCTCTGATCACTCCAAAGTTCTTTCTATCATGAGACTTGTGTAGCGACTCGAATTGGTGTGTGACCATCATTATTTTATTTTTTTTTGGTTAAACATCATCGGTGGGGTTTTTTTTATTGGTTTGATTAGCTTTTTAAGTATTTTTTTTACAATTTTTTTTATTTTAAAAAATATTAAATTGATAATTTTTAAATTTTTTTCCATGATTTTAATATAACAATATTAAAAATTATAAAAAAACATGAAAATATTAGTTTTATATATTTTTAATAGAAAAATACTTTTACAAAAAAATCCCTACACCGCGTTACAAATCTCACATTATCTATCAACTAGTTATAGTAAGGCCTAATTAAAATAGATTTGTAATTGATGTTCGAAAAACAAGGCATGTGAGAGTTTTGAATTCGAAAAGTTCATGTTCAATTCTGAAAAGCGACCTCTGGATTTGATTAATTATATATATATATATAATTTGATTTATCAAGTTTCGATTGATAAAAATATTTTATATCAATTTAAATGTCCATATAATTGAAGTACTAATTATTAAATCCGAGTAGAACCAATTAATTCGGAACTTAATAAGAGCGAGGTTTTATAAAAATTAAAAAAAAATCACCACTGATAACTCAATCAAAGATTTAAATTAATCTACCATCTAATTAAAACCTGCTTTTCAAAAGGATTAAAATAATATTTTTTAATTTTTTTAAAAATCAGATTAAATCAATTGATTGAATAACGACCTTGAATACCACTATTGAAAAAAAAAAGGGAAAAAGACGCTTCTCTTCGTCAAATCGTTGAAGTTAAGGCATTCAATCGAAGTGCGAAGTTTTTAACTATGGGACACGTCGCATTAGACCCAAGAAACCACGAAAAGTCAGCCGAGCTAGACTGTGACATGCAATGGCCCAGACCAAACTTTTTGCGTATCGAATTGACTGAGCCCACAAAAGGGTTTCGACTTTCCATGACGAGAATAGCTACTTGGTGCATGAGCCAGGGCACCGCCATAGGTCCACACCCCATAGCATTTTTCACGCGCTGGAGGCTGGACAGGGAAATTTGTATGGCTCCAAGCATTCCCTGTGAACAAGAAAATGAGAACCACCGAAAATCAGGTAGCATTATCACTTTCAAAGGGCAAGTCTTTGTACCTCTCTCCAAGAGCCTAAAACTGCACCACCCTCTATCAAATAACAGTTGGCAAGTCCAAAAGGTTATGTGAGCAACTTTAAAGTTGATAAGCTAGCTAGGGTGCTACACAGCTGGAAAAGCATATACCATGGCATTGCAGCATCACTTTCTAGCATGCAAAAATGCCTCCATCCAAAAGATTTACATGACTCAATCATCTGGGGATAGGAAGGAGAGTTTCCCAGAGGTGCCTAGGCCTCCAGCCGAACAGTTTGCACCTCTGGCATCTACTTTTCAGCGTCGTCTACTTGTTGGTGCTGGTTCAGCTTCTCTGGTGGCCGTCGGTGCAAATTTTGGTGGGATTACTAGTTTTCTTCTTGGATTATCACCGGAAAGCGGTCGAAATGTTAAGCTTGATGTGCTTTATCCAATTGGAGGGTATAGCCGATGCATCGAGACAAATGAAGGATTTGGTTAGTGAGTCCTCTGTTGTATGAATTTGTTTAACATGATTTCTTGGCACCTATAAGATTGATGCGTTCTTCTAATACTATAAGTGCTTTTTGGGAGCAGAATTCATATACCCTGCAACTTGGGTTGGAGATCAAAGGCTGCTTTATCGAGCAGCTGAGAAGACAGAATATGAGAGATCACTCGATCCACCTCCACTGAATAATGGGAAATCTGGTGATGGGCGGCGCAAGAACGTGAATGAACCGGTTGTTGCATTTGGCCCCCCAGGTTCAAGTGGTGAACTCAATGTTAGTGTCATTGTCTCACAAGTCCCTCCTGACTTCTCGTGAGTACCTAGAAAACTGATGCTAAGATCCAAGCTTTCAAAAGATAGAACACGTAATGAAGGTTCATTTGTGAATTTTGTAGGATTGAAGCATTTGGAGGGCCTAAGGAGGTAGGAGAAGCTGTGGTTCGGACAATCACAGGAGCACGCCTTGACGTGAAAGGTACTTTGACAGAATCAAGTTTAAGAGAGGACTCTCTGAGCAAAGTTAATTACTACAAGCTGGAATTCAGAGTTGAAAGCCCCGCATTTCACCGGCATAATCTAGCAGTTTGTTGTGCTCGCGGTGGTAGATTATACACCTTAAATGCACAAGCACCGGAATCTGCATGGCCAAATGTGAAGGCAGACTTTTATAGGATAGCAGATTCATTTAGTATCATCTCTTGATAAAGAAAAAAAAATGCACAGAAGAGAAAGAACAGACATTTTGAAGTTTGTATTCGCCTGAAATCTTATTTCAAGGCAGCTGGTCCAGGAGCATTATTACACAGTTTAACAGAAAAACAAAAGATTATACTTTATGCTATTGACTTCAAAAGTACTCAAGTCATGCTAAATTACTGTTGCGGCAAGCTGAAATTTTTACTTGCAACTGAATCCATTTGCCGCGGGTTCAATGAAGTTGAGGGAAACCCTAAGACCAAAGTTACTTGAATTTCAATATCAGATATGATAAGAGTAAAAAGTAAACAATCCAAAACCTCAATCAAACAGCAATGACCTAAAACTAGTTAGCTTTTACTTAAACTTTGCTGTTACAACTGCCATAATCTGAAAAAAACATAATTTACATTTATACATTTAAATTCCCTCAGGCAGCATCTCAGCCACTTAAAAAATTATTTTTCTATGTCTAAATCACTAATAATGTACACTAATTTAAGCACAACTTATCTGTCTTGGCTTAGCAACCTTCTTCAAGTTCTCAGAAACTGCTGCAGTTAAATTAGGATCCTCGAATCCAATTTCTGCTCCAAGCCTGCAAAAAAAATTATAAATCTTATAATCCCAGTAAACAGATAGAGGGATGGGAGAAGGCAACTATTCTATATATGTGCAAAAATATCCAATAAAATACAACAAGAATCGCTCAAAAGGTTGGCTAGGTCATAGGCAAGGAAAATATACTAGATATAAGTGCACTCCATGGTCCTGTTTCAAACCTTACTCCTAATGTTAACCCCTAACTGGGATATGTGTGATGCCACAGGTCCACAAGGCCAATGCATCAGATGTTAATTTCACTTTTATTTCTCATCACAAAAATCAAATTAAAGATTTCAAAACACAGACAAAAGTAAGCAGTGGAATGAAAGTCAAGCTGTTTTGCTTACTTAGGATCAAGCACCAATTTCTGGACTTCTTTAATGGCTGAACTAGCAGCATAGAGTGACATCTTACCCACCTGTATCAAAACCAAATAGAAAGTAAAGAAATCATTGATAAGAGAACAAAAGAATTTCAAGGAAAAGGAGGCATTGAATTTTCGAGGAAAGTTTCAGGATTCTTACCTCCAAAACTTGAAGTTTTGCTTCATGTTCATTTGGAAGACAGCAAATTTCTTCTGCCAATCTAGAAGCCACCCCCAAACTCTCAGGAGATAAGAAATCAAGACCCAACTGAACATTGGACTGCAAATTTACAAGAAGAAAACAAAGAAATAATTATAATGCAGAATTTAATTAATTCTGAATTAACCATGTCAACAATTTAGACGGATCTATATCAAAACTAATTCAAGAATTACAAAATTCACAATTAACAGAAGAATCGGAAATAAAAGCTAAAGCTTCTGGAACCACTCTAAACATAATGGTCTCTAAATATCTTCAGTCCAGGAAACTGTAAGTATTTTTATAAGACTTTTAAAATCAGACAGTACTTGACTTTAAAAGAAGAAAAGAAGGAAACAAAAGCAACAACTACAGGCTGTTCACAAGTGTTGTTTTCTATAGCATATGCCTGTCCCCCAAACTACTAAAGAACCTTTTTTTATCCCATTGTTCGATAATAAATATGTCCCTAACCTGAAGGCCTAAAATATTCATCTGCGGACAGTAGAAGCAGCCCCATTAAAGCAACATCATTTGGAAACCACAACTAAAATCATCTCCTCAAGAATGAAACTTCTATTCTTTTTTTTACTTTTAATGGATAAAGGATGAATATGTTGCAACTTTGGAAACAGACTAATGCTGGTTCCAAGAAAAAAGGTGTGAATGAACCTTGGTCTAATTTGGGAAAATCACAAAACCATTTATACTAAGGATATCAATTAATATCCAACCATTTGAAAAATAAAATATATATTTTCATCATTGTAGTTTAGATGTTTTAAGATTGTTTTACACTTATATTTATCAGAATTCAGAATCCAATTAACTGCAACAAACTTGCCTGAAGATTCCTCACTTGGAAAGGGCAGCCAGCAGGGACGAATACAGCTTGCCCCAGGTGCTGTTCAAATGACCATGGTTCAACTCCTGAGGAAGAAAAATAATAGGAAAGTCAGATACCCTGCTTACGAACAAAATAAACAATAGGAAGGTCTATGCTAACAAAATAGAAGCTCGTATACCTGACTATGTCAACAGAAAAACTAAAAACAAGCAGGAATAACTGACTCCTGCTAAATCTGATCCATTTTATCTATTTTGAAAACTAAGAAATGCTATTGTTACTCACCAAATTCTTCTTTCAATCGTCTCTTATGAAACCCATTTAGGAAAACTGTTCCATCATAAAGGGGATGTGTGGCCTGAGATCCCATTAATAAGATCAGCAACATGCAAGTTATAGAAGCCATTTGTCTTGATTAAAATATAAGGTACATTCCAAAGATAACTAGGTCAACTTACAAAATCATGCACTGCATTGTCAGGCTTCCAAAGGTCCTCACAGCGTGTTCGCAAATAGTCAGTTAACTTAGGAACATCCTGCCGACGAAAGACATCCCAACTAACTCCTGTGTGAATCTCTACAGGGATATCATCATGATTTTTCCTCAACTGCTGACCCTCCATTCCCTCAACCTCTTCCGTTCTAATGGTTTCCGTTCTCTCAACCCCTGGGACACTGGTGGTTCTTTCAGCCCCTTGATCTTCAATTCTCTCAAGCTCTTCAATGCTAGTGGTATTATCAACCCCTTCATCCTCCATTTTCTCATTCTTTTCTGCAGCTGTCTTCACTTCATCTTGTATATTACGCCCACCAAGTGATATTTCAGGCAACCTTCCCTCCTCCAAGCTCTTTTCTGGGTCAAATGAGCCATTCTCCTGGCAATGTTTTGCCTTTGCTTCACATGTATGCACCAATAAGTATACCTGCCCATGCCTCAGCAATGCCAATCCATATTAGACACCTTAGACAAGTGAGATTGTTCAGAAAAAAACAAATAAACAGCCACTTAATATTACATGTTGGCTCTCTGTACAGGGCATGGCCACAGCTGCACTTATTGCACTGGAAGGCAACCGAATTTGTAAAATACTTGTTCAACCCAATGTTAGAGATATGAAGAATTTATTTGTGAACCAAGTAGATTGAATTTAGGATCTCAATGGGATTAGTAAGATTTCAGTTCTAAAAACACCTCATGTGTATGCTTTAATTCAAAGTTTGTATACAAATGATAAATTTCACTCTAGGACCTATAGTTTAAATCTTCTAACATGAATTTCAACAGCAATACATGCGAGTAGAAAGTGCCACAATATCAATGAAATAACAAATAAAACTTACCATGTCACGCATTTTGAAATGAAGATTGATTACGGAATTGCCCACACTGAGTTCCTCATGGCTCCCATATGATATACAAATCTTAGGTCCTACATCATTCTGCAAAGAGTAATGGGGCAACTTTGCAGCAACATTTAAAATACCCAACCTCGAATGGATGAATTCAAGGAAAGGCAGTTTACTGATAAATTCGGGTCTCTGGTATAATAAGAACTCTTCAGAAGCACTGGGGGAAGGCCAATCCTTCAACTTCAACATCTCTAGTGAACCGTTTTCCCGGATTCGTCCCTCAGAGTATCCTCTGATAAACTGATCAAGTTCAATATCAACCTGCCAACACAGAAAACCACATATCATGGAAATCAATAGATTAACACAACAACAATTTATTTACTGATGTTATTAAGAAAAAAGAGCCATACACCTAACATGAGCAAAAGTGAGAGAAAACACACCTCAGACCAGTGTAAGCAATCTATGGCCTTCACTGTTCTGTTTTCATCTTTTATTTTCTCATCTGATGTTTCCCGGATCCCCTTCCATATGGCCATTGGATCCCAGCTTGATATGGATGAGCTGTCAAATACCTGCTTCACAATAACAGGTTCGCCTCTGACCCAATGTTTTCTAAACTTGTTTATCCCATCAACTTTTATATCTTCAGATAAGGGGCAATATAAGAAATTATCATCACTATCATCTCTATGAGCATACTGGCAGAGTGTGGAATCACTCAACCCAGATTTCTGTGGAGTGTCAGCATCATAGACCTTGCAGCCACTGACCATTTCCTCCACATTTTTCACAAGTTTTGCTACCCAATTCATCTTGAAAATATGGCTTAGGTTCAATGATGAGGAATTACAACCACCATGCTCCTTTGGAGGGCATGGAATGCTGCCATCATTGTTTGCCTTCCAGCCTTGGTACTTATCTGATAAATTTATTCTTCCTCGGGAGTCTATCACAAATTTTGATAGGGTCACTTTGTCTTGAATTCTCCTTTTAATATGGTTTTCATTCACTTCAGTTCCAACACCATGTTTTGATGCTCCTCGAAGATCTTGACAGCAATGGAGGCACAGATCATATGAGCAATTTGCACAATGCCGATGATAATCAATGATTGGTATCCTACATATATTGCTGCAAAATGATAAATTACAATGAACAACAATATTTGAAATGATGAGGAATCTATTGTACTTATACACGCTCCAAAAAACCCTATCTAGAAGACAGGCTATAATTCAGCTTTCTGAACTCATCAAATTGCAAGATTATTTTATAAGATAAGTAAAGACCAGGGTCCTGACTTCAATTCATATGCACAGTAAAGAAGAACATTAAAGCAGTGCATAAGTTTACTTAATATACCAGCAGATCTGCTCATCAGCATTCAATTTGGCCCGGACAAGATCTATATCAGTTCCTGAAGAAGTAATGCCCAGTTAGTCACATAACAGGTAAAAGCTTATAAAGCATTCTAAACTCCATATGCCACTAAAATATAAAAAGCATCTCACCACACAGCCTCTGTTCCAGCTCTACTTCAAAGCATTGTTCATGATGGATCTGCTTAACTATAGGAAGCACAGAAGATAATAGGCAGTGGAGATATTGCAATTTGTCTAGAACAGGTATCTCTCGTATTCTCGCCTGCAACTTATAGGGGAAAAAATATCCTCAATGGATAAGATAATCCCAATACTATTTGTTCATGATACATAAGAAACTTAACAATATAATAGAAACATGGTCCCTTCAGTTCATGAGTGAAATACCTTTACCATATTATCTCCTCGTAAGCAACTCCTGCAATTGCAGATCCCACGACATGCAGGACAAACCTTCTCAATTTCTTCCTGTGGAATGTCCGAGTACCTAGAAGTACAGAATAAATCATTGACTGAGCTTATAAGTTGGAAATATGAATACATTTTTGCAACAGAGATCAACCCTCACCATTCAGAGATACAGTTATCACAAAAACCTCTCTTGTCACATCTGGGACACCAAATAACTCTATTTCTGTCATTCCTTCGGCACTGATGACAAGTTTGTCCACCAATGTCTTCAGAAGAATCTGTGTTTGCATCAGAGTATTCCTGAAAACAATGTGTTCATCTCAATATCTACAAGTTGACGCAGAAGAGAAAGCAACCATGCAAAACATAAATGAACAGTACAGTATAATAACAACATTTTAAAACATGCTGTCAAGTACGATTTCAATTTCACTCACTGTCATAGCACTGGCATCAAAGCTTCTTTGTGATATACCCTTGGATGAATCCATAGTTAAAAGAGGAGGCGTCTTATATGACCTCCGATTCTCTTCAAACTTGATATCTCTTCGAGAATCATCATTTAGTTTTTGAGAATTCCGACCAGACAAACTCCTTATATGTGTTTCAGGAGAATAGCGAGCCTGACTTTTTGGTACTTTCTCCGTGTGCCTCTTTGATGGAACAAAAGACGGTTGTTCCTCTTCAACTTTCATGTTCACAAGTGGTATATCAAAATCATCACTCTTGCTCTCCAAGTAAATATCTCTTTCACCCAGCGATCTTCTTTTGGCCTTCTTCAGACTGGCTCTCAAGGCAGAATTAGCTGCCCTCTTCTTCGCCTGAATATAATGCTTCTCACAAACAGTTTTATCTGGCATAGACATGGCAGTGCATCTCCACTGTTTCCCATCTGACCTCTTGCAGCGCAAGTCATCAGGAATCCCACCACCATTCTCCTCACCATTAGCCAAGGATGATCGTGGGTGATCCATTATAGCTGTGTCACAGAAAAATTCAACAAGAACAAGACACTTAACTAACAATTGTACGCTCATAACACCAATCTGAAATAGAACAATACAAACCAAAAGATCCAGAACAAGTCACGACATAGCACCACAGAGTAAGCAATCATTCAAACCACACAGGTTGCAAAGCTCCAACACACGACATTCATTCGCAATCATCATGTGAAAAACCCCAACACAAGAAAACAGACTTACTAAAATTAACAAGATTTTTCCATAATGGATTTGCAAGAAACGCGAGATACAAAAACTACATAAAATAAAAAACTACACTGCCAAGTTTCAAAATTTAACTTAATTCATCAAATCATTGCAAGACACAGCAAAATTCGTCAATAAATCGATAGCCCATGTTCCAAACTTTCAATCCAAACACAGAACGCATTGAAAAAACACAGTAACAATAACCATAACAAAGCTTCCACTTGAGAAATTGTTAGAGGGAGAGAAAGAGAAACAATATTCAAGAAAAGAATCAGAAAAACCAGACCCAATTAAAGAATTGGGTGCTTCTTTACCAAAAAAAAGGAGTGAGAAATCAAGCATTGCAATCAAACCCGGATCAGCAAAGACTATCAAGAACCAAAAAAAAAAGAGGGAAGGAAAGAGCAAAGGTTACCTGAGAGAGACGGTTTTGTGGGTGAAATAATAATGTATATAAAGAAGGGAAACGAGAGTTATGAGCCAGAGAAATACTGCTCTTCATTATAGTATAAGCTAGGAAGAGTGACTTTAGCAGAATTTTTAGTGGACGGCTTGTGTTTCACAGACCAGACACACCAGCAGTAGAACTGTACAACTGTTTTGCCTTGCTGTCGGTTTCCGGTTTTAAGGTTCAGACTACTGTGTATGAAGTTCAACAGAACTGGAATAAGCCAGTCAAAAAAAAAAAGATAAACAACGTAAAAACAAATAATTTTTTTTAAAAAAAAAAAACAACAAAGTTAATGATGAAATTTTATAAAAAAAATTACCTATTTAAAAATAATATTACTAGTATCACTGACTCGCGTGCTAGGTAAGTGAATTATAGAAAAAAAAAAATATATATATATATATATATGTATGTATGTATGTTAAAATGCTTCATTGTTTTCATATGAATAGTAAAATGGTATAAAAATAATCTAGTTCTTTTAGAGTGTTTAATCAAATCCAACATTTTCTTATAGATTAATAGATTAACATGGTAAATGATATGAGATGTTACTGCTTGTGGCTGCAATGTGATTATATAAGATTTTATTAGTAAGGTATTTATATATGATCTGAAGAAAATCTGCATTTGAGTGAAGTATCAGGTATTTAAAATAAAAGGCAAAATATGTTATTTTTTCTTCTTTCAATCCATTGGAATTGACACAATTTTTATTTCCAATTAATGTATAATAAAATACAAATGGACAGCATATTCGCAATGCCCAAATAAAAATACACCACATAAAAAGTCCGATATAGCAGCGTAGTTTATTTTTAAAAGTGTTTTTATTTTTTAAAAATATTTTAAAATATTTTAAAAACATTAATTTTAATATGTATGTATGTATGTATGTATGTATGTATGTATTGTTTTTTAAAAAAAAATAGTCAAACGAAAGCAAACAAGTTTTTAATGTTTTTTCCCCTAACCTTAAAAAAACGAAAAGACCATAGAATACCAAACACCCATTAATGTCAATAAATAGAAAACATACAAAGAGATCCAATAGGCAAGAGCATAAAAATATATATTAATAAATAAATAAATAAAATAAAACAAGATCCCATTTAACCCACAGTTATTGAATTTGGTTTGGTTTAATGCCGTATGAATTGAGTTAAAAAAATCCAAATTAATTAGTAATTTGATAAAATAAATTAATTATTTTTAATTTTTTAAAATAATAATTAACTCAGTCTCCATAAAATGCAATAACTATGATTATCATTTAATTCCTATTTATTTTTGTATTTCAAAAGCACTTTAGAAAAAATTTTAAATTCTTCTATTTTTATTTTAAATTAATATTTTTTAATATTAATATTTTTATATTTTCAAATTTTTTAATATATTAATATTAAAAATAATTTTTAAAATATAAACAAATATTATTTTAATAAATTCTCAAATAAAAATCATTTTTAAAAATAAACATAACCTCGTTATAAAACATCTCCATACCATATAAGCACTTCCCCTGCGAAAACCAAATATTTCCTTCCATTTCACATTCTCTCTGACGCCAATAATTTCAAATCTCTCAAACCAAACCAGAGAAAGAGTCAGAAACACGACGAGAGAGTAATTAATTGATAAATTATCGTATGCAAATGGCGATGGCGAGGTCAAGCTCTGGCCTCGCATATCCTGAGCGATTCTATGCAGCGGCATCATACGCTGGATTTGATGGATCTCACAACTCTACCATCACTGTCTCTTCTAAATTCCAAAACGACACCGCTCTCCTTCTCTACGCTTTGTACCAGCAGGTCACCTCTCCATCTCCTTTCCCCGATCCATCGCGTTTCTATTTCAACTCGTACATTACACGATCTGATTCGCATTGTTCTGGCGCGAATTTTAATTCTATTTTCCTTTATTTTTATTATTAATTATAGGTTTTATTAGCTCGATTCTATGTTATAATTTGCGTCTTTAATTCTTTAATTTCTCTTTTTTCGCGATTTATGAGTTTATCAGTGTTACTTATTTTCTAGTTTATTTTCTTTTTGCAAATGTTGCGCGTTTTGAGTGTGTAATTATAGTGGATCTAGGGTGACTAAAAATTATACTGTGCTTTGAAAATGTTAGTTTTCTTGTTAATTATTTATTACGACGCAATGAGTTTGGAGTGAATTGTGTTAATCCGAATTTTTTAGTGAATTTGGTAGTTTTTGGAATGTGATTGCAGGCGACAATTGGACCGTGTAATGTGCCGAAACCTAGTAGCTGGAAGGCTGTAGAACAAAGCAAATGGAAAAGGTTTGTTTGCTTTGCTCATCTGCTTTTAGTTTTGCTTTTGGATCTGTATTTAGTGTGTACTTGTTATTTATTCACCCAAGGCTAGATGCGCAATAGGTGAAGTACGATATTTTGGAAGGTTGGAGCAGAAAATGTGAAGAAATTGGAAACAATAAAGCAACGTGTAAAATGGAGAACATGACTGTGTCTGGGGAGATTAGTGTGGATTCAAAACTTTTCGTGGAATTTAGAGGATCATTTTTAATTTGTTGCACCAAGGAGGGTGATTTTTAGTTCCTGAACTCCTTTGGGTTAGCTCGATGGATGGATCTGTCTCTTGTGAAGTAGGAGGCCAATATAATGTGCTTGTTATGATCCAGTGAACAGTTGCCGGAATCTCTAAAAGATTGCCATCTAGTGATTTAGATGGTGTACCATTGTCATTTTATTTCTCATTTGCTAATTTGCACATCGTATTTTCATTATAGTAAATCTGTTTGAATGCATGGATGAAAGTGCTCAAAAAATGTTGGTGTTTGTGCAGCTGGCAGGGGCTTGGAAATATGGCTTCCACAGAAGCCATGCGTCTCTTTGTGAAAATACTGGAGGTGATGGCAATAGGGTGTTCAGGTTCATCTTTTCATGATGATTCTAATACAAGTTAATTTAATATTATTTTGCTTCTCTTTGGCAGGAAGATGATCCAAGTTGGTACTCTAGAGCATCTAACTCTATCTCAGAGTCTGTCACAGACACACAAGTGAATGTGAGTTCATTGAGTTTTATATGATGGAGCTTATTTTCATTTCTTTCATACTGGATATTTTATCTTCTAACCATGAGTTACTTCTATATGTTTTGATGAGATTGATATTTCTGCTAGTTAACATAAGAAAGAATATCAAAGTATACATGTGAACCAATACCTTTGTTAGTTGTCCTAATGACTCTTTGTTTAGTTAGGTGTGTGCATGATTGTTTATGCACAAGTTGAATTATTTATGTGTAATTCACAGATGATACCAGTGTCATGTGACCACTTTTTAGCACCTGAATGGTTTTCTAATTCACATTTCCTAACTCAAACAACATAATAAAAGTATGTGTGGAAATTGATTTGTGGCCTTTGAACACCCCATGTATGATTCTTCTAGGCAACACAATTTAAGCCAAGGATAAAATGGAGAGAGTAATTGGAATATTGAACAAGGAAAATTTCAGTTAGAGGGAAGGAAAATGTTGAGCAATGACCAACTAGCTATTTGAATCATCACAGCTGCTGTCATTAAAGTGCCACTGCTTACCTCAATCCAAACCATTCTCCAACACAATGCATAGCTACTACCCTGCTACCACCTGCCATCAAGAACACATCAATTTCAAAGCCCCCCACAGGCACCACCAGCACCTTCAACCAAGAACTTTCAAATTGCACTGCTAATGCCACTTCTGCTCTCACATAAGTACATGACTTTTAATTGAACAGATCCAATGAAAGTGTATATTTATGTCTCATTTGTATGGAGGCTTGCTCAAGCATACCTTGCTTGTGTGTCCATGTGTGTGTTTCTAGTGAGTTGCATTTGTTTGATTAGGGAGCTTTCCTTTTCCTTTATTCTTCTTAAAATCAAAACAGTGGAGGGAAAGAAGTGAAGGAAACAATGCTCATCATGGCCATCAATGTGATGCTCGTGCCTTGTTTTGCACCTTTTATCATTAATTTCTCCTTCCTGAGTTTTGCATGCTTACCTGATATTGCTTCCTGTAGCATTACTCAGATGAGCATGTCATCGAGAATGGAAACTCTTTCCCAGACACAAAGACCATTTCTACTGAGAATGGAACCCTTGTAGAAACTCAGGATAAAGATGTCGTCTCAGAAGATGTTGGGACGGAACCCTTGTAGAATCTCAGGATAAAGATGTCGTCTCAGAAGATGTTGGGACAGTTGCTGTCTATGATCAATGGATTACACCTCCAATAACTGGCCAACCGCCAAAAGCCCGATATGAGGTGGGAAAACCTTTTAAAATGGCAACTGCACTTGTTCCCTTTTCTTTCGTTTGTTTTCATTTCCTCTGCTTTCCTGTCATTCACTCTGAACAAGCTCTTTTTTATTTTCCAGCATGGAGCAGCAATTGTTCAAGATAAGATGTACATATATGGAGGAAATCACAATGGCCGCTATCTCAATGATCTTCATGTAGGCAAACCATAGACTGGAATATTATTTTGGTAGATGTAACTAAGTTCGTAAATATTTATTTGTTTGGTGCAGATATAATCCTTATTTTTTTCTGAAAAGCTATGCTCTATATCAAACTAAAGCTGGAATTCTAGAATGTTTTAAATATCACATTTCATGGTCCTGTGCTTTTAAACTCCATTTTACCTCTTATATTTTACTGTGTATTTTGCTTTTACATTGAACTAATTACTGTTCAAAATGACTGTCAGCTATGCCAACACACCTTTTTATATTGTTTCTCAAAATTCGGTGCCCTATGCAGGTGCTGGATTTGAGAAGTTGGTCATGGTATAAGGTCAATTTTAAGGCTGAGAATGAGCCACAGGAGGGACATTATCAAGCTAAATTAACTCCTTGTGCTGGCCATTCCTTGGTTAGTATATAACTGAATTTCCTTTTATATGTGAACTTCTTGAAGCAAGTTTCTCGCAATATGCTGATCCATCTGCAGACAAGTGTGCAGTGGTATTGAATTATCCTCACATGTTGATGAATAGGACACTGTGTGTTCTGTTTCTGCAGATACCATGGGAGAACAAGCTTCTATCCATTGCTGGACATACAAAGGATCCTTCTGAAACTATCCAGGGTATATAATGTATTATCATTATGTGGCCGAGTGATTTAAACCAACATTGCCTTAATATTTGATTTTTTTCCCTGTACAGTCAAGGTATTTGATCTTCAGTCTTGTACTTGGTCAACCTTAAAGACTTATGGGAAAGCACCGGTATGTATTTTTTTCCCTTTCTTGCATCTACTGCATTTCATACAAAACAAAAATACTCAATCACTGTATTATTCAAAGTTCAAAGCTGGAGTCTGCTGAGCTGATGCACAAAGAAGAAATTTTAAATCTTGACTTAAATTTTTTTCTCTTTTTGCCAAATTTGTGAATTATTTTTTTTTTGTGATTTTCAGCCAAAACTACATGTTAGCGTATTGACACTTGAAATGAAATTGTGGATTGGACTTCCGAAACTGTTACAGTGAATCACAATGGAATACTTATGTTCAACAGTTTTCCATTCTCATTTATGATATTGGTTACTTATATAATGTATAAAATGTTGCATATTTCATGCATTGCAGATCTCACGTGGAGGTCAATCAGTTACCCTTGTCGGGACAAGCTTAGTGATTTTTGGTGGACAAGATGCGAAGAGATCTCTCTTGAATGATCTGCATATCCTTGACCTAGAAACCATGACTTGGGATGAAATTGATGCCATGTAAGATGAATCTCGCAAATTGATGCCATGATGATTTAAGATACAACTCTACAGATTCGCACATATAAATAAGATTTCACTTTGAATCTATTATGATATTTTCTGTTGACCACAACAATATCTCATGTTTCTAGCTCACATCCAATTTTTGAGATATGAATGTGAGTGGATCTTCGGATTTCTGTTAGAAATGGAACAATGTGAGCAAGGATTGATTTTTCTTTATTATTTTACAGTGGGGTGTCTCCATCTCCAAGATCTGATCATGCTGCTGCAGTACATGCCGAGCGTTACCTTCTTATTTTTGGTGGAGGCTCACATGCCACCTGTTTCAATGATCTGCATGTGCTTGATTTGCAAACTGTAAGATAACTAATCTCAGTGTTTTTTGTTCTTGTGCAATAGTACTGTTAGTAATATCTTCTGCATACATGGACTTTTAGATGGAATGGACGAGACCCACACAACAGGGGGAGATACCTACACCCCGGGCTGGACATGCCGGTGTAACAGTTGGGGAGAATTGGTTTATTGTTGGTGGTGGTGACAACAAGAGTGGTATATATTTTACAACTTGGAGCTTATGCATTTAGCATTAGCTACCAAATCCTTTTATATTTTCCATTTGTCCTGAATGAAGTAAAATTATAAACACAAAGGAAAAAGGGAAAAAGTTTTCCTGGAAATTTCTTCATGTTTACTTTTGTAAAAAATGGCTGTAGCAAGTCCCCAGCCTGTTTAAGTATCGATCCCAGTCAGAATGAATTTTTTTATTCTATTAGTCGAGTAGTTTTAAATGGAAGAAAATGGGCAGGAATTTTGATTTGAATGATCTAAATTTCTCTCCAGCTTCATAAATTTATCTCATATATTCCTTTCTGTCTACTTTGTTTAGGGGTCTCTGACACTGCTGTCCTCAACATGTCTACACTTGGCTGGTCTGTTGTAACTTCTGTTCAAGGACGTGCTCCTCTTGCCAGTGAGGTATTTTACTTCACAGAATCGTAAACTATTTCAAGCTGCATGTAATTTTACTGGAAAGTTGTATGATTTTTGTGTTCCATGTGAAACTTTTTGCAACCATCAAAATCTACGGAGCGCAAAAGTTTTCCATGTGTCTTGAAAGTTTTTTTGCTTGGTTTATTTTAATAGAGCTTTAATAAGGAGCAACTTCTATAAATTATCAACAGTTTAGCTGTTATGAGTAATCCAAGGATGTGTACCTGAGTGCTGTAGAGATTGTGAATTGTGATTTAGATGCATCTAAACTGTTGAGTTTATTGCTGCCTTCTGTAATGGAGTCTGAATTTATCATGCTAGTATAAGTGTTGTCAATTTCAGTCTTTGATGTTGTTTTCTTTCTCTAGTATTTATAGTTATCTTAGAATTCGTTTTATCAATTCCATCATTACTTTCTGAGGGGGTGACAAGCTGTAGACAGATAGGCTTGGCCTTCTTGACTGTGATTTTTTTCCCTCAAGTAGAATCAGTCAGCTGACCATCTTTTATTGCAGGGCTTGAGTTTGGTGTTGAGCTCTTATAATGGTGAAGATATTCTTGTATCTTTTGGAGGATATAACGGGCATTACAGCAATGAAGTTAGTAGCAATCTTCCTTTCTTGTGGATTCCCCTCCCATCTCCCTTTCCTTCTTTCTGATTTTGTTCTGCTGTCAGGTCAATGTTCTTAAACCAAGCCACAAATCAACTTTGGAATCAAAAATAGCAGAGACTCCTGTGCCCGACAGTGTTTCTGCTATCCATAATATTACAAACCCCACCAGAGATGTAGACTCTGAATTTGAAGGGGGGCATGAAGGCAAAATTAGGGAAATTGTTATGGATAACATTGACCAAGGGTCCATGGTATGGGAAATTGCAATTTTTTTTTAACAAATGTAGAGATTCACAAATTCTTTTGCTGTATTGTTGTTTTGGATTTGCATCCTTAAGACTTTGAATTCCATGCAGAAATCTAGAGGTGAGGGAACTAGTGAGCATCTTTTAGCTACTTTAAAGGCTGAGAGAGAAGAACTGAATTCTTCGCTCAGCAAGGAGAAGTTGCAAACTCTCCATTTAAAGCAAGAGTTAACTGATGCTGAGACTCGTAACACTGATCTTTACAAGGTAATCACCTGACATACAGGTTTAGTCATCTTTTGAGCACTTCTGTCAAATCTTGTACCAGAGTTGCATGCCATCTGAAATTTATCCTGTGGTTGTTTTCCACTTATCAACTTTTCTGTAGCTCATAAGATGTTCTTTCTTTCTATATCAAATGCCCCTTAATTTTGTTCTCTTGGCATCACAGGAGCTCCAATCTGTACGTGGTCAACTTGCTGCTGATCAGTCGAGATGTTTCAAACTAGAGGTATTTCCTAGCTGCTTTCTCTTCATATTGTTTTTTTCCCATTCTTTGGGTTTGATCAGGGGGGATTATTGGAACTTCCATGAAGAACTACAATCTTCATCTGTTGACTTCTCTGATATGCATCATTTAACTTTTCATTTTTGGTTAAAACAGCCACAAGATATCTCTAGTTCAGTAAACCAACCCAGAACTGAAGATATGGCTAATATCATCTTATGTCTACATATCAGGGAAAAGAAACGGTGTTTGGTTTGCCACAAAATTACTGTGCAAAAAAAGAGATTGAACAATGGCTGGATAAAATATTCGCCTTCTTGTTGTTACGATAAGTAGGGTGAATTATGTTAATTAAGAACTGCTAGCTTCTTTTATACTCTCCTTTTACTTACAGGTGTAGTAATAAGCGAATCTTCCAAAAATAGCAGCACCAGTTTCCAAACAGATTTATTTGTGTTAATTACTCCTTGAACTAACAGGTTGACGTTGCGGAACTACGACAAAAGCTTCAAAATATGGAGGCACTGCAAAAAGAACTTGAACTCCTGCAACGACAAAAGGCTGCCTCTGAACATGCCTTGAATGCAAATCATAGGCAGGGCTCAGGTGGCGTGTGGGGTTGGCTTGCTGGAACCCCTGGCTCTGGCAACCAAAAGGAAGATGATGCGTAAATTTTGTGGAAGCCTTGGTAAGTAGTGATTGTGTAGATTTGGTTCTCGCTGATCCACTACCTACCAAATATTTTTGTTTCACTAGCCTGGTTCTTTTTGTGATGGGAATAAAGATATCAAAAAAAAAAAATTGGGTCAGAATGAAGTCCCTTTGGGGTATAGTTAGTAGTTTCATACGGTCGTCACTGCAAATTTTTACAGGGTTTGTATTGGAAGTAAACGTTACTGTTTTGAATGGTCACTAAATTATAGGGTTCATTATTTTCCAACAAAATTTGGCCAACATTCTTTTGTTACAGCAATGTTGAGCTCTTAATTGTACTTCTATCTACAGAAATTGTTGATTTATTCGGTGCAAATTGGGAAACTATTCTGATCCTGTTTTCTTCCCTTTTCTGTATAGCTAGTTGTCTAATCAACCAAGAAAGAATTTATTGAGCTGCCATAACTATGAACATGGAGTTGCGAAGGAGTAAGTGTGATGAACGGCCCTTTCCTCCTCTTCATATTCACTCGAACCTCTATAATATTGTGATTAATCACGAGTCATGGCTGATTCAATATCTGAGTCAAAATAAACAAACATTTGTCAACTCACATACCTGAATTGGTGTATTAGTGATTTTTATGATACTACAGAGTATAGAGTGCTCATAACGACATTAAAGTGCCAATACAATATGCAAAGAATATCCATGCATTCCCTGGTCCGTGGTCGTGCTGATCTAAACTTGAAACTTGATCCAGCTGTTAATTAGTAAATTGATTAGTTTCATAAATCTAGCTCAAACGTTGCCTGCTGCCAAGTAAACCTTAAAAATTCAAAAACTCAGAAAACAAAATAAAAGGTGTGTTAATTCACGAGTTGATTAAATGCCCTAATAGCTTAAATTATCTTTCAAGTCAATTTCTAAATTGGAAACCTTAAAACTTAGTTCTCATTTTATGAGAATAATTTTCAGCATCAAAACAAAATTATTTATATTCAAATTAGTATATTTATGATTTTATTTTTTTTATGGAACGCAATGAATATACTTAAAATCTCGTTATAAAAAAACTAAAAATATTGTTCTAAGAACAATCCTGAAAATGATTTGGTACAGACAATTATCAACCTCATTATATATATATAAAAATTGATCTCACACTATTCTCATCTTCCTATTTTCTTCAAAATTCACTTACAAAAAAAATCATTAAAGAGAAAGTTGGTGGGCCCCGTTCCCATCATACGGCCAGAACCCACTCCTAACTTTTCCTTCCACTATCAAATAACGTGGCACCATCCAAAAACCCTCTACAGCTGCTCATATGACACCCACACACCGCATCAAACCTTCGTAATTTTCTCTCCATCCAAACACGCCCTTATCTCTTTCCCTACAAAAATCTCACA